CGGAGCGTGATGTACCAGAGGTCCTTTTGTTTTTTTTTATTTTTATTTTTTTTATAATCATGTATTCATTGTTTAGGTACAAGAACTCGCATGCAGCGGTAGCTATGGCATAAACAAAACCTTAATCCCAAACAAACAAAACAAAAGAAACCAAACCAGTGCCTCCAAAAAGCGCGAACAACCCATATCGCAAAGCGCATAATAGCTTACTATAAAGGGAAATAATCAAACTAAACTTAAAGTGAAATCCTACAAATAAGGAAACAAAACAAGTGTGCCAACGACTCCGGCCTAGGCCGAAGAGGAGGAGCTGAGTGAGGAAGTTGGGCCCCCGAGAGGGCGGGCCCCAGAGGGGGGATCTCTGAATGCAGGCATGTCCGGGGGGAATCCGGTCGAGGTGGCAGAGATGTATGCGGAAAGGCCGTGAAGCAGTGCCGGAGAAGACCAGATGGGCTCCCCCTCATTCAGGCACTCAACCCCAGGGAGGTGGGCATTTCTGGCTTTGGCACAGGAGGGGCAGCTGAGAATGGTGTGGTGGAAGGACTCGGGTTCCTCCTCGCAGTAGGGGCAGGTATCTGGGGCGTCTGGGTCCCTCTAGAAGTGGTGGGCGGCCAGGTAGCTTTTTCCTGACCTCACCTGGTGGATGCACCCCGCCACAAATTTTCCCAAACCCATGAAGGGGTGGGGGAACAGTGTGGCCAAGTAATCGTAACGGGGTGGTGGTGGGTACTGTTTGGACCAGACATTTAAGAGGAACTGCCGACAACCCCTCTTAAGGGCCGAAAAAAGGGTGTCTCCAGGTGCCTGTGGGGGCAAGGGTGAAGGAAGGAGGGCAGGCAATACCGGTGGGACTCGGGAGAGATGTCCAACAAGTTTGACCACTCATGTACCAGAGGTCCCTAGACCTTGCTATTTATATGGAGACCTCACCCAACCCTAGCCCTGCATGACTCATACCTTCTTATTACTATATCCTATGACTTATAATTGTGAGTCATATACAATCCTCAGTTGACTCATATGAGTCAACTGTGCAACATACCTACACCAATTATAATCCTTATAACAAGTCATGTATACTAAATGAATCACATGTGTGAAACTCTTGACTCATAAGTATAAGTCATGCATGAAAGTCATAACATCCTAAGATTCACAACTGTGAGTCATCGTATAATAATATACACTGATGACTTGCAAGTGCGAGTCATGTGAAAACCTTTGTTCTACCTCTTCAATCTGCCTTGTCCCAATCTGGTTTGTGGCAGTGGTCAAGAGAGTAAAATCCTAGAGAGGAAACACTTATTATGTAAAAAGAAATGAAAGACCAACCAAGATTACCAATGCCAAAAGAAAAATAGTGGAGTCAGTTATTGATTCTGAGTCTCATTTAGCATTATGTGACATTACTAAAAATGTGAATATTTGTCTAAGCAAGACTACTATTGATAAGATCATTTCAGAAGCTGGTTTTAAGCTTCTGATATCCAGAGAAAAGTCTTTTTAGAGAAAAGGACAAAAGGAGAAGAGAAAGAAGTTTGCTAGGAGAAAGAAGAACTAGAAGGAGGCATGGAATTGGGTTGTTTTTGTGGATGAAGCTACAATTGTTTAGGATCCAAATTCTACTAGCAGAAAGGTCCGAGTTAGACCTGGTGAAGAGTTTAAAAGAAAAAAACTTGAAGCCTAGCTTTAAGTCTGGGAGGACTAGTATTGGCGTCTATGCTGCAATCATGAAGGGTGGTAGGACTGAGTTAATTCTTTTGAGGAAGAGGGGAGAGGAGGAAAGGACCAGCAAAAGAGACAAACTTGGCCTCAATTCCTACCAATATGCAACTGGAATCCACAAGCCATACCTCATCCCTTTTATAGAAGGTCTGGATAGGCCTTCTGACAAAATCTACCTAGCTGCAGACAGTGCCTCCTGGCATGGTGGTGAGGAAAATTGAAAATTGGAGGCTGACTGTGGTTACAAAAAACTCCTTTGGCTACCCAACTCACCAGATCTCAACCCTATTGAGAACACCTGGGCACTACTCAAAAGGGCCCTCACCAAGCGGTTCTCCAAACTAGAGAGAAGGCCTCTCAGTGCTGATGAATTGTTTGAGGCAGCAAAGGAGGAGTAGGGATTAATTCCTCAAGCGAAGTTGGATGGATGGAGAGATAGAATGCCTTAGAGAATGTTGGCTGTACTGGATGCAGATGAAGGCCATACAAAATGATAATAATGTTTTTCTATCATCTACTAGCTATACTATTGTCCTTTCTTTAATTGAATTTTCTACTTTTTCTTTGAATTTTTTGTGGTTGGGTGTCGTGGTAGTGCCGTTGCCGGGCGGGGGTGCGAAGACTTTCCGGACATGACTGTACTTCTCGCCCCGCTACAACGCCACGCCCTGAATGATAAAAAGTGGCCGAAATACCCGTAGACTCTATTTCCGGTAGTATTATAATCTCCGGATTCAGAGACAAAACACCCCGTGTTGGGTAAACACTATTCCTTCTCGGAGTGTGCTTTATCTCTGAATCCAGAGATCAGAGACCTACCGGAAATAGCGAATAGCGAATCGCAAGAGATTTTACGGTACACCCTCGCTGTTATCGCAAGCTGATCCAGGGATTTTCCTTGATTTTCACACCCCTGGTCGAGTGTTAGTACTACCTCTAGAGGTGATTTTGCATGCAACGTGTTGAAAATAGCAGTTAAGTACCCGTAGCTGGAAACTACGGTGGTGTGCGTACCTCTCATGTGAGGACGCGTAAGCAGTGAAAAGTTTTCACCTCCCTATTTCTTTCCTTTCCTTTCCTTTCTTTCCTTCTCAAGAAGAAGTCAAACCAACTCCACTCCACACCTCTTGTATGAAACTCTCCTCACTCCTCGTTCTCTATTGTTCACACATACAATACAAGGTTCCCTCATTACCATCAGAGCCAACTCAATCCACTGCGTAAAACCCACCTTTTGGTCATTACTGTTGCAACGACAACCGGTTTTATCCTGTCTGTCTACCTCAATTTCCAACACAACGGGTAGAGTAATTACACGAGTGATATTTGGTGATACAACGTCATCCGACTGGCTTACCAGCACAAGTATATGGAATGTTGGATTCCCCGCGTATGCTTGGTGTTATGGTATGATAAAAGATCACGTATTTCGAAATTCTGTGCGAGAAGAGGCGTCGGGGGGGGGGGTTGTACCAGGATTGGAAGGGGCTCGCGTTCTTGATCACTTCTCGCTCCAGATGTTCGAGTGTCGCGCTATCTGGAACTATAAAATTCTCAGATAGGCTCCGGGGGAAGCTTGGGTTTCTCCGCGGCTATTTTGGCATTGCGCAGGGCTTTCATCGTTCCCTGATACTGGCTTTTCATGCCCGAGTTTTCTTATTCTTTATCCTGGTTTTCCTTACTTTGTTTCTTGTTCCGGGTGAACAGGTGGCTTGATGGCATATGGACGTCCTCGAAGGCCGGTCCGTACCTTCTCAAGAGAGAGTTTGGATTTTCCGTTGCCTTTCTAATTCAAAAGGGGCAAGGGATAATATTTTAACCCTCACTTCAATGTCCTCTTCTGGTGCAACCACATCACTAGTCGTAGATCTCACACCTATGCATGGCCCAAAGCCGGATTTCCACCATGTCATATTGTAGCAAGATCCGTCCGCCTCGCGACCATATTAGGGAAGGAAATCTTCTCCCCTCAATCTCCCAGTGCCGTAGGGTAGGACTCCTACGCTCGCCCCTGCCATGATACACACGACGAATCTCTCGATGATAAGATAGGGAATCCGACTCCTGTACACTCTCCCGGCAATTGAACGGAAGTTGGCCGGCTCTTGACATCTTAGCTGCTGTGCTAGTTAGCTAGGTATTTTACTTAATATGCCCATGAGAACTTACCTCGGAGGTTGGGGGATGGATTAGATCCTTTTTGTTTCTTTGTTCCCACATGAAGTTATAGACAACAGTGCCACCCTATCAAGCGCATTTGGGTGCATGACGGGAGCCAGTACATTCCCAAGAGAGGAGAAACTGTCTCCAGTTAAGGAGGATAACCACAGCCACAACCCGAACCATGAAAAAACGTATGTTCGGCTGGGAGCAATGCAGCATTTAGACAGGCACCTAGACATTGGCAAGTCCATAGTGTAACATGGGAGTACTCGTACAGTACCACTGTACAATGCCGTGCGGTATTCCTAAAGTATTATATGGCGATCCCCTTCACGGCATTATGCGACGTGTTTCATTGCTGATTTACACGAGTTTCGGCCGTCCCTACCCGAGCACTCGAGTACAGCCCCTCAATGCTTCCCGTGCGTCGGTATATGATACCCAGCCTAAAAAACCTTTTCCCTACCAAGACATTCTCTGTCCCAAACTCTCAGCCCAGCCCGTGCCGACGCGGAAACCTACTGTTACAGCAAAGTATTTTCTTCCTAAAAAGTTCGTTCAGCATGTAACCGATCACAATTCCCCACGTACAGTACCCCCCCCCCCAACGGTTGATAGGGGGAATTGCTGAGAGTGTGTGCATGTTTTGACAAAGAGCAAACACCTCTTCTGCGAAAACAAAAACTAAAAAAGAGACGCAGCCAGCCGGTGGCGGTGGCGGTGGCGGATGGGATTGTTGTGTTGGAGGGAGCTGTGTTTAGGAACTTGTCTTTCTTTTTTTTTGCTTTACCGGTTATTCAACTACGGTACTCGTAACCTCAGGGGTAACTTAAACTTAGCCTGTTGGTCAGGGTAATTGCTTTTACTTAGCACCAGCACCGTACCCGAAAACGAGCACCGTTACACAACCCAGCTAATGAAGAGAAAAGGCTCGGTCGAATTCTCAGATACTGCATGTAGGATACAAGTGCTGTACCTTCCGAGGGAGGAGATGGATGTTATAATGGCTTTTGAGTCTTTGTGCGCGCGCTACTACAATGGCCTGGAATATCGCGAGGGATAAGCATGAAATGCTGATCTTTCGGGGTTGGCACTGCGGTTGAAACAAAGGTAGAAGGGTAAGTACAGTGCAGCACAAGGTTAGCAAGAATGTGCTAGTACACATTTAAAGAAAAGTATTAAAATGGAATAACTGAACCGGCAAACATGAAAGAAAAAAGGAAAGAAAGGGAGGGTATGATTTTGACGAAATGGTGCTTGAACGGAGTACTAGAGTACTATAATTGAAACATCCTGCCACCTATGACCCGCTCTCTTGCGAGCGAGTGAGAGACAAGGAAGAAGAAAATATCACCAACATCACCCTCAAACCTCCACTCCAAGCCCCACCGGGAAATCCTCTGGTGACACCCCCCTCCTCTCGGCTTCTCTCTGCCGCTCGACATAAGCTTGATTCTCCACTGTCCACGGCACAGCCGGAATGTACAGCACAGAGCTATCACTTGCCCCCTGATGCACGCGATCCACGGCGTGAATGGTATCACAGTGCCAGAAGACGTAGTCGCCCGGCGAGATGCGGGGCACGTGCGTCATTGCGTCGTCGAGGCGGAGGTGGGGATGTGTTGAATTGCTGTATTCCTGACACGCACCCTGGACAGAGTTTGGGAAGTGGGGAGTTGTGCTCAGAGTTGGGGGATTGGAGAGGGTAAAGAATGGACGCAGGATTGTGTATGCTGTTGAGTGTTTTAGCAGAGGGTTTACCAGGAGGGTGCCCTCGCCGGGGGATGTAGTTGATAAGGAGAGCTGGAGCTTGTTAGCAGACTGGTTAGGGGGGTGTCGGTGGACTTACCCAGCCCTGCCAACTCCTCCAGACTCCACAACTGCCCGCTCCGTCGTACATATCCATCTTTGCATGGACCCTGTGATCCGCTTTATACGCATCATACTCCTCCCATTGCCCAGTCCAGATCTTCTCATAGCAGCGACAATACTCTGGATCTTCCCAGCGCTCCACACTACCTCCGTCTATGTGCGCCCCAAGAGCAAAGCCTGCATCACCAGGCTGGCGAATACGAAAGCGGTCAGCGTAAGGCAGACACACGGAGGTGTCCACCACCGATGACGGGAGAGAAGAATGCCAGAGAGAGTTTACAAAACGCTGGGAGGCCACGAGTGATGGATGGGATCTCGCGGCGCGCTGGGCTGGAGACCAGTATAGCTCGTAGACCGCCGGTGAGTTAGCGGGGAAAGCTGTGATTATTAGCTCTGAGATGTAAATATAGTTGCAGAGAGAAGAAACCTGCTGCCCAGGGGTTGCGCTTGATGTGCTCTTTTAAAGAGTCCTTCATGGCCAGAGCTTGCTGGTCCTGCAGGACATTCTTAATAACGACCACACCTCGTTTCTTAATCTCCTCTATCTTCTCTTTGGAGAGACTAGCAAGTTCTTTGAAATCGACTTTTGGGATAATCTATCAATCCATTAGCACCAACTCCCCCACCTAGAAGAGAACCCAGGCGGTGAGAAAAAATAGACTAACATCACTCCCAAACTTCTTCACCGCCGCCGTCTCCTTCTCAAGGTCAAGCAATAACCTCTCCCAGGACTCTGACAGGATCCTCTCCCGTCCAGATATAAACCGCCTTTTAAGGTCAGCATACCTATCCGGTAACGGGGGCGGTGCGATCCCTGAGAGTGAGGGAAAGACTGAAGAAATGTCTCCGCCGACTTTACTCTTTGGTGCGGTAGTCGTAGCCACCCGACGGGTGGCAAGTGCCAACTTGGGCGCGAGGAGTTTTGCCCTCGATAACATTTTGTTTTCTTTCCGCTCAAGATAGAGTTTGTTTTATTTCCCCTCAAGATAGAGTTTTTTTTATTTCCGCTCAAGATAGAGTTTTTTTATTTCCGCTCAAGATAGAGTTTGTCGTGGTATGATAGAAGGAGACAGGCACAATACTTCAAAGCATACTAAGGGGATGCGCCAGAACATATTATATCCACCCCGCCTCTACCTGCGTGTGAGGGGTCATGTAGCAAAGAAAACAGATATAAAGCAGCTCGTTTCAACTAGGCGGGGGTTTTTGTTTCTTCTTACGGTACTCGATCCGCTCTTATTAAAAGTACCGTGACAGCTAGACAGGGACAGATTCATGTTACCCTCCGCGGTGGCGCAAACTATAACCCGCCACTTTCCCTAGATATTCACTGGAGCTGTCAGATAACTCACAATAACCGGCGCCAGCCCTGCTTTTCTCCCCCAATCTCCCCTGCCGCCTCCGGAGTGTCGGTGACAGTACATTAATGGTGAAAAATCTAGGACACAGTCACGTTACGGGGACTCGCACTGGGGGGGGGTTCTAAGTGTTTCTTTTTCACCTATGCATGACCGGATAGGGTAGGCCAGGGGTGGTAAAAGATTTATGTTTATCAAGCGAGAGGAGTGCCTTTTCATGCGGGCGAAGCGTCGTGTTTCTGGGGTATCATAGGGGAAAGAGTGGCGAATGTGGCAAACCGAGTAGGTACCGGTTTTTGTTTGGCAACTAAGACTCAGCCTTCCTTTTTCTTGCGCACGGAAGGACACCAGACAGGAGTACCAAGGTCAGTATCGTACGGGAAGGGAACCAGGTATAGCACGTTCTTATCACATCACATAAGAGATACTGGATTTTGGGAGGCTTTATATTACCATAATAAGAAAATTATCGTACTATGATAGTAAGACCCACCGGCACCGGTCCGGTGGGTAGGAGGTGAAGCTAGGCAAACACAAATCTCTACTGTGCCACTAGCATGAACAAGCCCTATATGTCAGCAAGCCTACGGGGTAAACTAGGGTCGGATTTATCTCCCCGAATACTGCGGACAGAAGGTTCCCAATCGTTGCCACCGGTATTAACTTATAATACGGGTACAATAGCTCTGTTCCTGATCAAGTAGCTGATGCTTATGGCACTCAGTGAACCCTCCAATCTACACTCGATTCTGGAGATTTACCACGGGAGCACAAGCAATACAAGAGCCATAAGGAAGTTAGCGGGCGGCTAATTTAGGATAACCCGCAGAATAATCCCGTCTCGTGCGAAAACATCTCCCAAGGGACCTACCTGTACAAGTACAGCGAAATTCAAAGATGTCGTATCTGAGAACCTATCATAGATGCCAAGGCCCACCAAAAGCGCAGATCCTTGGCGCCAAGATATCCTGGCGTAATTGACACCCACCTGGTTTCCCTTGCCTCTGAGGGTGGGGTAATTTAGTTGATTCAACAAGTACGGTACTGTACAGTACACATCACGGTAATACTTGCGTGCGAATCAAGTTATGGTGCACATCAACGAAAATGCGTGCAAGTACTCGCACGGCCGAGTTGAAGCCGGACACCTTAGGTGACAATTCCTATACAAAGTGTCCGGCTTCAACTCGGCTGCGCGAATAGAGGGAGTAGGGGTGCCTTAGACTAAGTTTGCATCGACATAGCGGTATTGGGGTTTAGAATTACGCGAGCAGCTCAGGATTTTTGTAGGGGGAGGGAAATGCCAAGCATGCTATTGAGCCGCACGCATGCGATGTCGTTGGGCTTTCCTCTCTCAGTAAGGTCAGGAAATCATTGTTTCTTTTTTTCTGCCTCCGAATAAGTGGGCTACTCGGTGCTGTACCCCGTGGCCATGTTTTCTAGCCCCTTTTGCCCCCCAATCTAGAGAAGGTAATTTTGGACTACATAGCACTCTGTCCGGCTATTCAGTTCACCGCAGTACCGGTATGATATATTCGCAAAGGGATTAGCCTGTCACAGACCACGCTTGGCGATACAACCTACTATTACTAAGCTAGAATTAAATGGCTATACTCAGGTTTCAGCTATCCCCTAAACCGCTGAGACATTCAGGCTCATTTAAAATGTTGAACACTAGCCTATTAGAGTAGTCGGGAGCAAATCTGCGCGGCGTATCTCTTTTCCATCACGGCCATGCTGAGGAGTCCTGATTTGGTGCAATTCTGAGAACTACGCCACTTGACCAGGACGAAGTTTTTCATATCACGGTTACTCAAATAGGCTAGTGTCCAACATTTTAAATGGGCCTGAATGTCTCAGCGGTTTAGGGGATAGGTTCCCCCACCTTACCGTACTCGACACAATGCACCGAAGTAGCTCATGCCCCCGATCAGGGAATCTAACACAGACCAATCACGGAACACCAAAACACAACAAGCCGGCCCAATTCACACCCCCCGCCGATCAGCTCGAGTAGTGCTCCGAAGAGGCGATAATCACTTAGGATTCGATTAGTCGGGAGCGAAGTGTATATTTGGACGGGGTTCCGAATTAGGTTATCTATCTTCGCTGCGAGAGTGTGGCGGTTTTTTCTTCTTTGGAGGCGCTTTTGAGGGTACTCAGCTATGAGTGGTAAATTTACGAGCAGCAAGGGCAATAGGGGTCCTCAAACCTCGTATGGGTTTTAGATGGGTCCACCTAAACTAATCTGCCTGTCCGGCTAGCAGATGGCGCAGAAGCTTTGAGTGCTAAGAACAGACAGAGTGCCGCAAGAACTCGAATAGATAATCCTTGCGCAAGGGCGTTGGACCAGCCCCACTTAGTGAGATCTGGTGCCTTTCTTTTTTTGTCTCGGAGGGCAGGTTCTTTAGTTTGTTTTTCGCCCCTATTCCCGAGGGGGAAATTTTGGACTACCTATCAAAAGGTTCGATTATTCGAGTTCTTATGGTGGAGAGGTTATATAACTAGCAATCGAAATGTAATGTTAAAATTGTTGGACGGAAATGTTTCTTGGCTGCTCACCGCATATTTCCCTTATGGCACCGACTTCACAACCCTAACCCTCCTGGCCTATCAACGACTGTACTCCGACGCCTCTATGTTTGACTACCGGTTAGTCTTACACATCAAACACCACATGCGACAACATCTGCGACAACACCTGCGACGACTCAATGTGAAGGCCTTACCCTATCATATGGAAACACTGAAAGTCCTCGGTCGTACTCTGAACTTTATCCTGATGAAATTGAACATGACGGAGAACACGGCATACGCCGGAAGTGGATCGGCATGATCCAGAGAAGGATAAAAGGCAGCTTGTTTTCCCTTTGTTAGTTGTTTTCGTTCATCATCCAATCTATCTCTATTTCCTCCGTTACCTGTATTTGGGTCATATCAGTCTTTCCAGTTTTTTATTCTCTATTTTCTTCGTGAGAATATTTCTCCGATTAGGATATTCAAATTCGATCTTTACATCTTTGCCCTGCCATTCAATTGGAGTCAACAGTGTCCAAATCGCTACCGTAAACCTTGTTGTTGAAACAAAAAATAAGGGAATACATAGTTTTTACTCGTACCTTTGTTATCTATTTCTTTATCAATCTACCATTCAAGGATCCCAGCCATCTTCTGTCTTATCATGCATGACCCTTTGCATCTTTTCATTTGATAAGGAGTCTTTTTGAAGGATTTCTTTTTCCTCTCCATATTATGTATTTCCCTTAAACCACTGAGACCTTCCAGTCCAGTTTGAAGTCTGAAACACTGGTTCATTAAAGTCAACATGATGGGAAAAACTCTAAGAACGGGTGCTGTGGTAGCGCCCAGAACATGACAAAATCCCTATTCCAGACCACGAACTAGACTGGAAGGTCCCTTTGGTTTAAGATATACTAGTGGTTCGGTTGTTTCAGACATCATTGTTGCAAAGTTTGTCTGATTTTGTTTTTTCCTTTCCATCCAACTCTCAATGGATTCTCAACCTGCCTATTGCCAACTGCCCTACATCTGGGGTCCCCAAACTTGCTCCCGGGATCGCTGACTTTGTTGGCTGCTCCGCTGGGGGGAGACCAACCTATTCGGAACTTGCCCGTTTCCTTATCCCATCCAAGACTTGAGGCATCATATTGGTTCGCCTTGCGCGGTTGGGAGGTTTTCGAGGGGACAAACTTCTTGTGTTCCTGGCTGGTGCCTGAACGGAGGTACTTGTACAGCTCCTATGTTTTGTATGTTACACCAATTGCTAACAAAATGCCTGCTGCGAGTGTAACATACAAAACTTGGGCGCTGTACCTCCGCACTAATACACTGCAACACGATCTTGGCAACCCCCCCCTCCACTATACACTAAAAATGGGAACTTTCAATTTGAAAAATCTCGGATTTGTCAATCTGCCTTAAAAATCAAAATCAAAAAACTTGCCTGAGTCTTTAGAGCCATCTAGATATTATCACTCATAAGTGATAAGCCATGTTTATTAATGCCCATGATGTAATATCAAAAATAATGATAGGGGCAAAAGATACTCTCGACTTTGTATGAACTTCTCATACAAAAGGCGCATCGCAATAGCCCCCACCGGCCCCTCAGCTTTCAGCCCCCATGGTTAGAGTGGGGAAATTATCGTAATTTCTACCCCAAAAGGTCTGGGCGATTGCCCACACCACGGAAATTGATCTTGTTGATCATTCATTGCTTTTGGGGACGAGTCGAGCATGTTTGACAATCAGCTATTTTTGGTGCAAAATGAAAGGGGATGTTCCGATCAATGTTATCATCACCAAGATCGTGCCTGGATCAGCCAAAATGCCTGCCCCTTTATCAAAATTTCATCTTAAACGTCACTATCGCGCCGTACGAAATCAAATCCTGATTACCGAATGGCGCCGACGGCCAACCCTATCACGCCATACCGGCAACCTCGCAAGCGGAGCTGATAGATTATCGGACAAGCAGGGCAACTCGAGTGATATTATGTGGTTCATTGGAATCAACTCCCCTGTGCCGATGGAACAGGGATTATCGACGTTATCTTTATCCCTCATCGAAAACGTGCCAGTGCTGTACGAGTACTCGTACAGGTACGTACTCGAGTACGTACCACCCCTGCTTTCACACCATGAAACCGATAAGTATTTAAAACGAGAGGGTATCCTCCCCGATCTGC